ATTTCTGCATCTCTAAAATGGAGTTGGTACCTCAGGGGCTGTTAGGCTAATTAAGGGGGTTACTATACATAGCCCGCTTAGGACAGTATCCAGCATATTTTGAAGCTTAATAAATGTTACCTATGATCACACTGGATTGGAATTCTGTTTATATGTCTGCTCTCTTGCCTGCCCCCCCACCCCCACAGCACTGTAAGCTAATGTGTGTCTTTCTAAATGGAAATGATTTGAGGCTGAAGAGATGGCTCAGTGCTTTAGAGCACTTGTTGCTCTTCCAAGTACTTGCTTGGGTTTATTGGATTCCCAGTACCCACATGGTTCCTTACAACTGCTTTGTCCCATGGTATCTGACGCCCTCTTCTGGCCTCTGAGAGCACTGCACACATGTGGTGCAAAGACATACAGACAAAACACTAACACACAGAAAAATAAAGGAAAAATATATACTTCTTTTGTTTGTTTGTTTTTCAAGACAGGGTTTCTTTGTGCAGCCTTAGCTGTCCTGAAACTCAGTCTGTAGACCAGGCTGTCCTCGAACTGACAGAGATCTGCCTGCCTCTGCCTCTCAAGTGCTCGGATTAAAGATTTGTGCCACCACTGCCCAGCAAGGAAAAAAAAAACATTTAAAAAGATAAATTCAGTTCCTCATCCACACACTTTAGCCACTTTTCTCTTTTCTTTAATTTTTGAGACAGTAGTTCAGAATTCTGTCTGGCCTAAGACTCCTGATGTAGCCGGGCAATGGTAGTGCACACACCTTTAATCCCAGCGCTCGGGAGGCAGAGGCAGGCAGATCTCTGTGAGTTTGAGGTCAGCCTGGTCTACAAAGCGAGTTCCAGGACAGCCAGGACTGTTACCCGAGAAACCCTGTCTCAAAACAAAACACCAGCTTCCTGCTGTAGACTGTCAAGTGCTGACATTACACGTGTGTGCCCTCACTAGCATATGGATCCAGAGAGCACTGAATGGGCAAGAGCCCTTCTTTCCGTCATGGCAGAAGGTTCTAGAGAAAGTATAAAGAACAGCACCCAGGAGGCTGTGAGAATGAAGGCAGGGGATCTCCTAGTCAGCTCCACACCCCAGGCCCTAACTCACCACGTGCCACTAAGAAGCCGCTGTTAGCTCAGGACATGACTGTCGTGTGTGTGTGTGTGTGTGTGTGTGTGTGTGTGTGTGTGCGCGCGCGTGCACGTAAGCACATGTATGTGTGTGTGCTTGAGTGTATTTCTGTGTACCATGTGCCCATGGAGGTCAGAAGAGGGCGTTGGGTCCCCTGGAACCTGAGTTATAGGTGGTGTGAGCCACCGTATAAGTGCTGGGAACAGAACCCAGGGCCTCTGCGCCAGCAGTCAACCCTCTATTGTGTCTTCTCTTCAGCCCACAACCCTCACAATTTTATAGGTTTACAAGGAAACTTAAGAGAAAGCTAGCAATTGGCGGCAGGTCACACGGTCACCAGGCCTGGAGGTTTCAGTACCACATCCCTTCAGTTAACCCATGGTTACCCATTGCTCTCTCTATCACCACCCTGGCCTTTTCAATTGGCCCAACCCAGTGCTTCCCTTCTTTGGATGTTTGCCTTCTGCTTTGGTCCGGGTCAGGCTTCCACGGTGCCTGCTTTCCATCCAGGTGCCCGCTCCCAGCCCTGGGTACAGTTCCAGCGCCGAGCTGCCCGCTTACCTGCCAGCTCCACCTACAGTCAGCTTTGGGCTTCGCTCACCCCTGCCAGCACCCAGCAGGAAATGCGGGCTTTCCCTGCCTTCCTGGGCACGGAGGCCTCCAGCTCAGGTAGGCCATGTGTACAGAATGTAGAGGGGAGACGCCTTCCTTCCCTAGGGAGTTAGCCATGAGTGCCAATGTCCTCTTCCCGCAGGCAATGGCTCCTGGCTGGAGCTGATTCCCCTCGCTGCCGTGAGTGTGCATTTGCTGACAGGCAATGGGACAGAGGTGCCGCTCTCGGGCCCCATTCACCTGTCCCTACCAGTGCCCTCAGAGCCTCGTGCCCTGGCTGTGGGCACCAGCATTCCAGCCTGGAGATTTGACCCCAAGAGTGGTAAGTGTTAGGGGCAGGGGACTGGGGAAGGAATATGGGGCTTAGGTTAGAGGTGGCGGAACACTGAGTTTGATGAACGAATTCTTCTGGCCCTTCCAGGGCTGTGGGTATGAAACGGCACTGGTGTGATCCGAAAGGAAGGCCGACAGCTCTACTGGACTTTTGTCTCCCCACAGCTGGGGTACTGGGTGGCTGCCATGGCCTCCCCTACGTCTGGTGAGATTGGTGGGGCAGTGGGACGGTGGGCAGTGGTGGGCGGGAAGGCTGGGAGAGCTCGGGCCTTGTGAAAGGCAGGAAGGGCATCCCAAGCCCTTGCCTGGCACAGGGCTGGTTACCATCACCTCAGGCATTCAGGACATTGGCACCTACCACACCATCTTCCTGCTGACCATCCTGGCGGCTCTAGCCCTGTTGGTTCTCATTCTGCTGTGTCTACTGATCTACTACTGCCGGTGAGTGCTCCTGGGGACCCATCCCTGCCTTGGGAGTCTCACAGATGTAGAAAGCCCAATTCTGATCCTCAGCGTGCTTCCAGCGCAAGAGCTAAGACCCAAGAGGCTGGTGGCTTTAGAGAAAGGGGTGACAGATGGCAGGACCTGCGCGGGCCTTGCCCATTGCAGAGACTATCCCGCAGTCCAAGCAGCCCAGCTCTCACTCCCAGGGGACACCCCCCCACCTCAGAGCAGGCACTCCTGGCTGGTTTACATACCAAGCGTTACCAAGTTTACTCCATGAAGCTGAACGGATGAAGCTCCTGGATGTCTTCTCTTCCTACAAACAGCTTCCAGCTTCCAGGCATCATCTACCCCTCCACCCCCGCCCCGCATCTATCTTGAATGTTCCAGTCACTATCCACCCTGCTCCCGCCATCTTCATCCCTTGTGTTGGCAACTGTGGGGGTTAAAGAGACTTGTCCTTTCAGTATTCCTGAGGTCCTGTCTCTTACTTCTCACCAGGAGACGCTGCTTGAAGCCAAGACAACAGCACCGCAAACTGCAGCTCTCTGGCCCTTCGGACAACAAACGAGATCAGGCCACGTCGATGTCTCAACTCCATCTCATCTGCGGGGGACCCCTGGAGCCTACATCTTCCGGAGACCCCGAGGCCCCGCCCCCAGGCTCCCTACACTCGGCCTTCTCCAGCTCCCGAGACTTAGCATCCTCCCGAGATGACTTCTTCCGTGCCAAACCGCGCTCCGCCAGCCGTCCGGCCGCTGAGCCTCCTGGTGCTCGCAGCGCCGACGGTGCCGGGCTCAAGGGCGCCCGCTCCGTCGAGGGTCCTGGAGGACTGGAGCCCAGCCTGGACGAGTACCGGCGGGGTCCCGCGGGGGCGGCAGCCTTCCTGCAAGAGCCTCCTTCGCCGCCGCCGTCCTTCGACCACTATCTAGGCCACAAGGGGGCGGCCGAGAGCAAGACCCCTGACTTTCTGCTGTCGCAGTCGGTGGACCAGCTGGCGCGGCCGCCGTCCCTCAGCCAGCCCGGCCAGCTCATCTTCTGTGGCTCCATCGACCACCTCAAGGACAACGTGTACCGCAACGTCATGCCCACCCTGGTGATCCCCGCACACTACGTGCGTCTGGGCGGCGAGGCTGGCGCCGTGGGAGTGGGCGACGAGGCCACCCCACCGGAAGGCTCGGCCGCCGGCCCCGCTCGCCCTTTCCCGCAACCCGACCCCCAGCGCCCGCTGATGCAGGGCCACGCGGGTGCGGGGGGAGACGGAGGCGGCGAGGGCTGGGGTGGCGGGCGCTCCGCACCGGTCAGCGGCTCGGTCACCATCCCGGTGCTGTTCAACGAGTCCACCATGGCGCAGCTCAACGGCGAGCTGCAGGCTCTGACCGAGAAGAAGCTACTGGAACTGGGCGTGAAGCCTCATCCGCGCGCCTGGTTCGTGTCCCTGGACGGGCGTTCCAACTCGCAAGTGCGCCACTCCTACATCGACCTGCAGGCGGGTGGCGGCGGCGGCCGCAGCACCGATGCCAGCCTGGACTCCGGCGTCGACGTGCACGAGGCGCGGCCCGCGCGTCGCCGGCCCCCAAGGGAGGAACGGGAGCGCGCGCAGCCACCCGCGCCTCCGCCACCCGCGCCCCCGCGCCTGGCGCTCAGTGAGGACACCGAGCCCAGCAGCAGCGAGAGCCGCACGGGCCTCTGCTCTCCGGAGGACAACTCGCTAACGCCCCTACTGGACGAGGTGGTGGCGCCCGAGGGTCGGGCAGCCACGGTACCCCGAGGTCGGGGCCGCAGCCGTGGGGACAGTTCCCGCAGCAGTGCCAGCGAGCTGCGGCGCGACTCGCTTACCAGCCCGGAGGACGAGCTAGGGGCGGAGGTGGGCGACGAGACTGGCGACAAGAAGAGCCCGTGGCAGCGGCGGGAGGAGCGGCCTCTAATGGTGTTCAACGTCAAGTAGGGCGGCCCCTGCCGCCAGTGCAGGTCCCCAGAGTGCGCGCCCTGGGGTGCTGAGGGGGCACACACTTAGCCGAGAGGGCTCAGGGGCCTGCTGAGCCCATTGGTGGTATGTGCTGGGGGAGTGTCTTGGGGGGAAGGGACCCTAGATTGGCCTCTAAGCAGAGGGAGGTGGGAGGGGCCCGGTCCCCCCATGGGAGGGGACTGGGGAGGAGGGCTGGGGTGGGAGCAGTGCCTGTATAAACGTGGCTGTACATAGAAAGATCTATCGTGGGAGAGCAGGAGGGGCGACCCAGCCTCAGCTGCTAGGGTGAGGGCTGGGAAGGGAGGGGCAATCTCTGTGGACCCTTGGGAGGGGAGGGGTGCTGCTTGGATGTCACAGGGCTGGTGGCTGGGGCGGTCCTGGGGACTAAGGGGTACTGTGATGGTGACGCTCTAACACACAAATACAAGCCGGTGAGGTTGAAGCTGTGTGTGTGTTTCTATGGGATCTGGAAGACCCGGAGCACCAAATCAGACACTGCTAAGAAAGTGTACAAATTTTATTGGAGCAAAGGCGTGCGCGCGCGCGCGCGCACACACACACACACACACACACACACACACATACAAGCAACCTCACACAATACCTGTGGATCGGGAAGAGCACCTGGCCACAATGTCCACAGATATCGGAAGAAATGGCAGTTGGAAATGGGGTCCACAGCCTTCTTTGCATAAAAGGTCTTAGTTTGAGGCCACCTCCCATGGTGATGGGGTGACTCAGAATGGGTAGATAGGTCTGGGAGACTCTAGGAGAAGGCCTAGGGAGGCCTGAGTGGTGGAGACCGTCTGGACAGGGTCCCCAGGGCTGTGGAGTTCTTTAGTCTTGAGCCCCTCCTTACAGCAGCTGTCTCGGAGCTGGACCCCTCAAAAACATGTCCCAGCGAGGGGTCTTCTTTCGCAAACATTTGGTTCCCTTGGCCGAGCAGTGGAAGCCAGTGGGGCAACAGTGACGTCCATCTGCACAGCAGGTGCCCTGGATGGTCACGGAAGAGTGAGAACTGGACAGAGCAGAGCCTACCCACCCCACGGTGACACCCAGCCCCGGGGTCAGGGATAGCACTGACCTTTACGTAGGGGCAGCAGGCCCAGCCTCCTCGGCTGTCTCTACAACAGGTCTGGTTATCATGGCAGAAATGCCCCCCTCCACACTCTACATCTCCCACCTCAGGGCCAAAGGTCAGGGGGGCAGGGGCAGAAGCCTGGATGGAGCGCACATCCTTCTCACAGGTCCTGGCCTTCACGTTGCAGGTGTATCCAGTCGGGCAGCAATGCTGCCCGTCTTCACAACACACGGCCTGGGCACGGCGGAACGGCGTCACACTGCTATTCCCAGAACACAGCTCCCTTCCCCCAGGGCAGTGGGTGGAAACTCACGTGGGGCAACTGGCAGCAGGCCCAGCCTCCCTTCCGACTAGGGCAGCAGGTCTGCCCCACCGGACAGCTGGTGTTCTGGTCACAACCGATATCTCCAGTTTGGGAGAGGGTTATCTGGCGGACAGGTGTCTTCTCCAAGCTAGCCTCCACTCTGTCTCCCTTCTGACAGTACCCCTCAGCCGTGCATGTGAAACCCTGGGGGCAGCAAGTCTTGTGGTCTGGGCAGCAGACAGCCTAGGGGTGGGCAGACACGTGTGTTCTCTAGAGGGACTATGGGAGTCCCTTTCCTGCTCATAGCTCCTCCGACTGGGGACAAATCACAGCATGGGGTACCACTGTGGACCAGGCAGAATGCAGAGGAATAAAGAAACGTGCCTCTCGCCACCCACCTGCCCAAAGGCCAAGATGCTGTCCCCACCCCTATACTGCTGTCTCCCTACCCCTGTACCTGCGGGACGGGACAACAGGCCCAGCTCCCAGAACCGAGACCGCAGCAGGTGTGGTTAGCAGGACAGCTAATGAAATCATCACAGTGAACGTCACGCTTGAAGATTTGTGGGTTTGGCAGGCTGAGGGGGGCCGTGACCTTCTTCATCCAGGGTACCCGGAGGGCTCCCATTTCACAGGTTCCTGTCTCTGTGTGGCACTGGAACCCTGTTGGGCAGCAGTGTATATGGTCCTCACAGCACACAGCCTACGGTGGACAGAGAAAGGCCAATACGCACTGGAGCCAAGCCAGCTGTCCCGCTGCCTGGACCCGTATGCCCACTGCTCCCAGGTACCTTGGTAAAGGGACAGCAGCCCCAGGCCCCGCTGGCTAGACGGCAGCAAGTGTGCCCATCTGGGCAGCTCACCTCCGTGTCGCACTTCACCTCCTTCACTGTAGGCAGAAGACATGTCATCAAGGGTACGGAACCAAGTATGAAGCTATCTCAAGCCACAACGAACCTCAGGCAAGGCCGGTGTAGAGGGGATATGCATGCAGCCAACACCTACTCCCACCTCCATCCCAGAACTGAGCTGAGCCACCTCCTTATGGAGCAGATGCCTATACCTGGGTATCCAGGCAGCTTGGTCAGGAGGTCCGTGGTGTAGTCCTTGGATAGGCACTTACTCTGGATCAGGTCACACACAGTGTCCTGGGGACAGCAGTGCAGATGGTCGGAGCAGCAGATGGCCTAGGTTGGGACAAATAAGGGTCTCTGAATTCCAGTCTCTAGGGAACACAGGGAGCAAGCCAGGCTGATGCCCAACACTGCCCCAGTCCCCCACTAGGGGGCAGCACGAGCCCCAATCATCAGCCCAGTTCCTAGGGGCCCCTTGTAAGGAAGGCTATGTCCAGGCCCAGCTGGCTCCAGCCCTTCACTCACGTTGGGCATTGGACAGCAGCCATACTTCCCAGTGGGCAGCTCACAGCAGGTGGAATCATCAGGGCACTGGGTCTGCGCATCGGGGCACACCACAGAGGAATGCAAAGCCACTGAAAGAGGAATAAGGCATGTGGGAGGGGCCACCACGGCAGAGGGGAACTTTTTGCCAGCCAAGAGTTAAACGTGGCTCCACCCCAAGGGCTAGCTGGATGGCCTCCCACCTCCTCACCTGCTCTGCTGGTCCTTTGCGCAGGGAACTTCCTTAGTAGGGGGTAGGTGCCCATAGATGTAATGCATCGTGTATGAACCAGGTCACAGGAGGCCCCATGGGGACAGCAATGTACTCTGTCTTCACAGCAAGAGGCCTGAGAAGAGATAGCTGGTCCATAACCCATCGTTGACAGCCCCAGCTCCCAACTCAGTCACCCCCACTTCCCCACACCTGTACCTGGGGCATGGGGCAGCATCCCCAGGAACCGTCAATCATAATGCAGCAGGTAGAGGAGTCGGGGCATTCAAACTGGCTTCCAGGGCACTGGATGGCACCCACGAGGTTATCTGCAGATGACAGAGTCCAGGATTCTATGGATCCGGTCCGTAAAGGTCACTCTCAGGTCACTCAACGTCGTTACGATTGGAACTGCAGGCAGTCTAACAACTGGTACCAGGGCTTAGGTGATCGCCCAGGATCCCAAGCCACGCTTCCCACAAGCTAGCCCCTACTTCAGAGAGGTGACAGAGGCATCCCGTGAACGTGAGCAGGTATTAGATCACTCCACAACACCTGGACTTTTACATCCTTGTCTGTCCCCTTCTACTCTCGGGACTGTCCCTCTGTTCAGAACAGGACTCGGGGGCCACCCAGGCAGTTGGGTTCCCGGGCATTTTAGGAACCACACAGTGCCCACCCACCCATCCCTTCTCACCTGTTCCCATCCTGTGTCCCACAGCACCTGATACTCGGATGCAGGATGTTCCATCCTCACTACAGTAGAAGCCCCGGGGGCAGCAATGGTAGCCATTACCACAAGATACACCCTGTGAGACACAGAGAAGCCTGTGTGGGCAAGACCCTTTTGCCTGGGATTGGAGAGTGAAGGACAGGAGTAAATGAAGCACCACCCCCCCTCCAAGCCAATGGCACCCTCACCTTAGGGAAGGGACAGCAACTGGAAGTCCCCAACACAGTGAGGAGACAAGAGTAGCCAGCAGGACAGTGGTCATGGATCTGACAGGAGTCACCTAGAGGATGGCTTGTTATCATAGGCCATGCATCCTGGAAAGAAGAGATGGCATAAACCAGTGGACCCGTGGTGCCAGTCCTCTTCTGGCCAAGCCAAGGTAGCCTCCATAAGGCCCAGGCTGCCAGCTGGGGCGAGCCACTCACCAGAAGAGGGTTACAGCAGCTGTAGCTGACTCCTCCCAGGTCCAGGCAGCAGGCAATGGGGCAGAACTGGCCATCTGGACACCGTGTTCCACTCACCAGCCCTGCCACTAAGGCCAGCCAGCACCCCAGGATCCACATGGTCTGCCTGAAAATGCCAAGGAAAGTTTGGCAGTCATCTTAAGCCTCTGCCACCTTCTAATTTGAGGCCGTGCACTTCCCTGCGCCCAGGTCAAGGCGTGACGTGCCCTGGATTTACTGAACAAGTGAACGGGAAGGCAAGTGGACGCGCTGCCTGACTCAGCGGCCTACCCCGTGTGCATCGCCCTTGCGCCGGCTTGCACACGTGGTGAGCGTGAATGCTGGCACGCACACGTGTCGATTCACGTCCTCACACACAGCCTTACACCTGACACCGCGGGGGTGAGTGAAGAGGAACGGAGAGTTATGACAGTCACGAAGGCATGTGCTGACGATCTATGGGACCGGGCGCAGACTGGGAGGCAGAGGAGGCTTCAGTAGCCACGGGAGGACAGGCAGCCTCACCTTCCTGCCTGGAGCTGAATCCCCACACCCGCCTTTCAAAGGCCTTGGGGAAACAGAGTCGTCAGTCACGTGATCACATGGGAACCCAAGGGGTTGAGAAAGTTGTGAAAACGGAAGTGTGGTGACCAGTGGAGTCTGGGTTGCCTTCCCCACAGGCCAGCCACTGCCTGCCCACAACTGTCCCCTCCTCACCCAGGGGAAGGGCACAGAGGCTGGGTTAGTCTCAAAGCTAATTTCATAATGAGCCCTCCCCGCATCACCAGCCTCCCCATGCCTGCCCCCAGCAGCACCAGAGCCCCTTTGGACGCCTCAAACACACCACCTGTCTCTCCTACCCAGAAACCGAAACTCAGTGGCAAGTGGAAAATCAAGTGTACCCCTTCAGTGCCCCTCCGTGTCAGCAGGAGGAACCGAGCCTCTCACTTCCCTAAAAAGCCTTTTCCCAGCTCAGCTGGCTTACCCGGCCACCCAGAGTGACACTCCCCAGCCTGGAGCAGCAAAAGCTGCAATGTTCACAGACCCCCTCGGGGGCCACTTTGTCCCTGCAGCATTTCCCTGCGACCACTATGAAGGCAGTAACCACGTTAGCTTTCACTTTCCAAATCTATGCCCAAGGATCAAGTCAGGGCAAACAGACCGAGGATATTGGACCTGGATTCACATGCCAACTGACATCCCTCGACATTACAGGGGGAAGGTGAACCCCAGAGACTAGAGGTACAAAAGGAGGGGGCAGAGCATATTTCTCAGGCGGGTGACCTATGCAGGATAGAAATAGCATGGGTACAGCCAGGTGGTGGTGCACACCTTTAATCCCAGCACTGGGGGGCAGAGGCTGGTGGATCTCTGTGAGTTCAAGGCCAGTCTGGTCTACAGAGCCTTGAACAAGTTCCAGGACAGCCAGGAAAAAGGATCCTGTCTCAAGGGGGGGAAAAAAAAGAAAGAAAGAAAGAAAAAGAGGAAACAGGGTGGGGACAGGGACTGTGTAGAATCTGCACTTGGGTCCTAGTCCTGGAGGTGCCACTGATGCTTGCTGAGGGCCTCAGAAATTGTTCCCCGTGTTTATCAATCTCTGTGTGAACACTGGTGTCCAGGGAAGGCAAGAAATCCCAACTTCCGCTAGGCATGTTAGGCATGCCTTTGACCCCAGTACTTGGGAGGCTGAAGTAAGACGATTGCAAGTTCCAGGTCAACACGGGCTACAAGGTGACAATGAGACCAGCCCGGGCTACATAGAGGATCTGTCTCCCACCCACCCCCACCTCCTTCCTTCTCTAGGTTTTCAAATGCCCTCTCCCCTAACTCAGACTATCCCAGAGGTCATCTCTTGGCCAGATTAGAATGGGGTGGGGAGACCTAAATCCCCTCCTTGGGGTTAGGCAGTGGCCACCTCTACACCACTCTGTTCAAACAGCCTGAGAGGCCTTTCAAGTCCCTGGCTTCGAAATCTTCCACTAGGTGGCACCCCCCAACTCCGAGTGTCAAGGGGAAGATGAATTTCCCAAAAGGTGAGCCAATCTAGCAGAGGAGCAGGAAAAAGTGGCGGGGAGAGGCGGAAGTTAGCTCCCTCACCCTCCAGAAAGGAAATACGGCTGACACTTCCCAGAGATTCAGCCACCACGCCCGGTCCCGCTCCCAACCCCTCTGAGCTCTGGGACCAAGGGCGGGAGATCCCAGCACACAGCAAGCCGCCGCGGAGACCACTCGCGGCTCCGGAATGAGAAAGAGCCGGGACCTGGAGACAGATGGGAGGCACAGAGAGCTGGCCCGAGAGAGGGGTGGTTACTGCTCTGGAGAAACGCCTGCAGCTTCCCGACATGCCGGTCAAGGGGAGCCTCTTACTGGGGTTCTCAACAACTGCTCCCACTCCTCCCAAATCAAAACCCCTCTTTAGTGCATCAGAAACCCCTAGGAGATATCGAGAGACAGGTCTTCTCTTGTCTCTGAGTAGGGACTCCAGGGGAGCCTCAATTGCACAGCAGCCTGGCCAGGCCTCTGGCCAGTAACAGGGAAGACGTCTGCAACGGGTCCTCCTACCTGCTTCGGGGTCCGAGCTCCCTGGGAGTCATCTGGCGGTCAGCTTCTGGACTAGGGCTTGGCCGCGCGATGGCCCGCCCACCCCAGTTTCTATTAGCCATGGGTCGGGGATCCAGGGCTTCCATTGGTTACTTGTCTACATAGAGGCGGGACTCTCCAGGAAAGCCGTGTTTCTTTTCTACTCAATTCACATTCCTCCTCCCTTTCCTCTCTCTCTCCACACCCCATTTCTAAGAATCATGTGACTAGGCAATCATATGACACCACAGTCCGCCTCCCCCCAGGGCAGCGCTTGCTTGTTCAGTTGCTTTCCCCCTCCCACCCACCTCTCGTGTCCTGGCGGCGCCTGGCAGGGTGTTCTAGAGACGGGGCTTCGCGTGCCTAAGGCCACCGACTGTAACGCCTCCGGGGCGCGCGTTCAAGGTCGTTTACCAATAGCGTCCGCTTCTGGACCCGGACTTTTGCAGCTTCGCTGTCTTTTCACGCTAGGCAGCCAGGACTCGAAACAAGCTGAACGAGGGTTGTGAGGGTGAAGAAGCTGTCCCCAGGGAGCCCGGCGTGGACTAAGTCTAATAAGTGATCTAGAGCGAGTACCAGGCGCTAGAGAGCTGTGTAGGGAGGAGGCGGGAGGAGAAGAGACGTAAATCCGTGTTGAACTGTCCTAGAGTTAGCGAGCGCCACGTTGAGCTGAATCTGGAAGGATTTTAAGAGGCTGATTAGGCGGGACGGAGCCTACTTAGAAAGAGGCTGGAAAACCAGCTCCCTGAGCCAGGGTCTTCTCTGTTCCAGGCTAGCCTCCACCTTGATATATAGTTGAGGGTGACACAGAACGTCTCGTTTTCCTGCCCCTACCTTCCAAGTGCTGGGATTGCGATTGCAGGCAACCATACTTAGCTTCTTTGGTACTGGGATTAAACCTAGGGCCTTGTGCACGCTGGGCAAATGCTAGCAACTGGGCTACATTTCAGTCCCAGGACTGCCTCATGAGAAAAAAAAAATAATTGTGTGCGTGTGTGTGTGTGTGTGTGTGTGTGTGTGTGTTGGGGTGTGTGCTGGTAAACAGCAGATAAAGACAACAAACACGACAACCTCAGTTTGATTCGTGTGACTCACGTGGTAAAACATAAAATAAAAAAATGACTTCCGGAAACCGTCCTCTGACTTCTGCATGAGTGTACCCACAGACTTAATCACACACTCACATGGAATAAATAATAATGTAAAACAAAACTCTGGGGCTATAGCTTAATGGTAGAGATCTCATCGAGCACGAGATGTTCTGGGTTTACTCTGACGGGGTGGGGGGGGGGGGCTTGCGTACATCATAGGATGACGATATTTTTGCCAGTCAATCTCTCTCACTGTTCACCTTGGCTTTT